GTAGAAGATTTGCTGGCGCATTTTTCGGAGAAACAATTAGCTCGGTAGTTTACAAAACGAATGAGCTATTGGGAAAATGCTGAGATGGCCATTCTTTGTAGTCCAGCCGTTATTTTCAGTTTTTTTTTCTGTTCCTATCTGGAATGATAGGTTCTTTTCAATAGCAAAGAGCAAGATTAAGACTGTAGTGGGAACATGAATTCATATCTAATGTGTTATATCAAATTTAACGCCTATCTAAACCGCCATTAGAAGACTAAAACTACTTTAAATATACTATTTATATATTTCAAGTCCTTTAACATGTATGAACATGTTTTTCAACAAAGTTGCAAATCTACAAGTTCTCTAGCCAGTAACAGAAAAGTGCTTGAATTTGTGCTTTTTGTAAAACAAGAAAGTTATATTTAAACAATATTTTTCATTCTGTTTCCAATATCCGAAGGTAAAAAAACCACAAAAAGCTTTTTATTGCTGAATTCTGCCCGAATACTCTGTCGTTTCACTTCCTGCTAAGGGCATTGAGGCTTGGTTGGTTTCGGCTGGTTAAGGTCATTGACCAGCGACTTCATTGCTGGCGGATTTCGGCCAGGATTTCAAACGACGTTTCCAGCTATTCTCTGGTCGTCTCATGTAAACATTGAGCCGGAAACGATCATCCTGGTTATAGTTGGTTGATAACACTTGAGACTACAAATATTCTATTACAGAGTAATAAGTTATAGGTTCAAATATTCTTTAATTCCAATATCTATTGCCCATATCTGGGTCTAAGAGGAATAAGTACGATGTATAATTCTGTGTAAATTCTTGTTAGCCAATGAAGATTGATTACAGTAATATCAAATGAATCTTGTTTCACCTTTAGAATTAACACAATGAATTTATTAGAAGTCGATACAACAATATGAAGTAATAGAATCTTTCTTGTGATAATTTTGAAAAACCATTTGGGACAGGGCCCATAACTTCATGGAGAAGTGGATGCACTCTTAAAATCATTGTTTCTTCATTCAACTACTTCATTTTGTCCAACATAGTTAAACGCCTATAACTTCAAAATTTCAACACCTTTTGTTATATCGTTGCACAAATACGTTAGTTTTACCAAGTACTGTGCAAATGTTTTTTTGAAAGTTTTCGAAGATTTTCCACCAGTAAATCCAGATATTTTTCAACACTAGAAACTTCGTCGAATTTTTAACAAAATATACCAAAAGATAGAGCGTCGAAATTCGAACAAACTCGCTTATTTACATTTTCCATTTCTGTAGACGGATGGTAAATTATTTATGAAATACAATTTTTTTGTCATGTTCTAGTAAAAAATAATGGCATTTTTTGCAGTATATGTCCTCTGGCTCAGTCAAGGAATGGAATCCGCAGTAGTGTCAAACTTTAGACTTAAATTTGAGCATTCAATTAATCGAGTATTGCTATTGGTCGGGTTTTCCATAGTATCCTCATTTGGAGAGCACTCGCGTGCGAATATTCGAACAGATAGTTGAATAGTCCAATTCAAGTTTCGAGTTATACATGTATGTAGACAGATGTCATTAGCAAAAATTTCCAAATTTTGCGAATAGCGAAAGTTTCGTAACGCGTTGGCGACAGAACAGTGGGCGAGAGTCTTTCGTCTTATTGACAATTCATCAAACCATTCAGTTTGTCCATACTGCTGTTCTAGAAAAGGGTTGGAAAATATAATATATACTAAGACTTGAGCTGTCTAATGTATCTCATCGTGTTCATATGTATATATCAGCTGAATTGCAATCTGCACTTATGGGCATTTACTCTGAAGGTTTAGGTAATCTATTGATAGTAGAATTGATGCAAAAAAATTGAAGCCAAAAAGCTTCTCCTACCATTTCAAAACATATTTTTGCAATACACCTAGCATTTGTCTGCCATTTTTTATCAAAAAAAGTCCTTTTTGACAGGAGTGGACACAGTTGAAATTGGTGGTGACTTAGAACTGACTTTATCGACAACACCCGATGGTATAGAGTTAAGAAAAAATTCAAGTCTCTTCAACAATGATGCATTCAAGCGTGTATATCATTCATTATGGGAAGAATGGTTTAATGGTATTTTAGCTGGCATGAGAGATGCTGACTTAGTTGTTTTAACAGTTATGTCCGTTTTATTTGGATTAAGTTGTATTGAGAAGTATCCAAATATGAAAGCAATTGGAATCTATGTTTGTGCTTATGATTCTACTGCAGAATTTACTCCGCCTATTGTGGCTACTAAAAGTCAAAGTGTATTTAATTGGATAAATTCACTTGAATGGAAATTAGTCGAATATGGAACTTCATTTCTATATACAGATAAAATCAATCAACTCCGTGCTAATGTAGCCTTACCACCAATCAAAGTAAACTATAATCACATGGTTCAATCCTTATTTCACAAACCGATGGTAACTGCTACAATCTATTCAAAATATTTACTTCCACGTCCGTCGGATTGGTCAGAAAATCACCACATGGTTGGTGCAATTCTTGAAGAAGAAAATTCTAATTTCGTTCCATCCGATGCTATTCTAGCTGTTTTAGACAAATGGAAAAACGAAAAGATCATTTACGTTGGTCTTGGTTCACATATGAGCGGAACGTTTGAGATAGACAAACAACTGGAAATTTTAAACAATATCCAACGAGCTATTCGAAATAATAATTGTGTGGCACTTATATCGCTAGTGGGCTTACAGCCAACAGTCGTAGATAAATTATCCAATGATGACTATACGGTCTATTTGCAAGAAAATATTCCTCACTGTTGGCTATTTCCGAACATATCAGCGGCAATTCATCATGGAGGTGCTGGAACTACACATATAAGTATACGATATGGCTTACCAACATTAGTAATACCTAATATACATGATCAATTATCTAATGGTGATCGAGTATTTATTAATAAATTGGGGCCAAGACCTATTAATATGCGTCAAGTAAATCTGAAGAATCTGACCAGCGCAATTAGGGATTTGATTCAAAATTACACCATGTATCAAATAAATGTCAAGAAGATGGGTGAACTAATTAGGCAGGAAGATGGACTTGGTAATTGCGTTCGACTTATTGAAACCGAGCTAAGCACATGAGGTTCTACTGCAGTATATTATGAAACAAACAAGAAAAACTTCCTCTAAAAACAGTTTCATTTATTTAGAATAGTGGCGTATCCAAGGAGGGGGAGGACGAGAGCCAATGGATAATTGTCCATTTGATTTGGAGCTTTGTTCACTGCGTTTTTATTTCTAAATTTTTGCCCATTGAAATTTTACTTCTTCGAAGTGGGTTATTTATTTTTTAATTATATCATAATTTTAACTGTATTTTTTCTTTTCTTCGATGGTGAGACGCACACTTGGCTTATTACTTTTACGAAGAATTAGAAAGAGAAGAAACGTCATATCATGTATTTTAATTGTAAATTCACTTGAAAGTGGATTCGATTTTCTCGAGGCAATAGTGACCAGTAAACAATGGTAGAAAACTATAGGCCCAAGTCAACAAATCCGATCGGATTCCTGGAAACGGAATTGCATTGGAATCTCACTAGAAAAATTCCGTCGGTTGTTGCAAATTTTATGAGCGATCGTTTTAGCTATGTTCTATGATGGTCCTTAGCAAATCCAGGAAATCCATGTTTCGGATACGACGAAATCCGAGCATGGGATTGTTCGACCGGGGTATATGTCGTAGGACAGATTGAAATGTTGCTCTAAATACTACAGCCGTAACGATGCGAAGTGTAAAAATTGTTAGCATGAAGATCAGTTTTATTTTTTGTTTATATGTGTGAATGTTTCTTCCTAGAAATATGTTGTTTTTTTTGTCATAAAATGGAAAATACAGCGTAATAATGTATATCTACACTCAACGTATGTATATTCCAATCTGTCCTACGATATATATATAAATCCATCATTATCAATTCTATCGCTGGTTGATAGAGATGGAATGAAGAGGGTTAATTGTAACAAAGTTATTTTAACATCAACTATAAAAATCGTAATTACACGTTCTCATCGAGACATCCCATTTGCCGATCATAGAGTGGCAACAAACAACGATGTAAAAAATCAATGAACGTAATTGACTGTCATTCTAGTTCAAATTTTATTGTTCTTTTAAGACAATGTGTAAATTCTGGAGGTTATGTTCTTCGTCATCATCTTGAGCATGGACCAAAAAATGCGTTATACACAACTTTGTTAGTTCAAAATGAAATTATTGAATGTATACACAAATATATTGTGAATCAAATTTTGCGTCAAGTGGGAAATTGTTTATTTTCGATTATTCTTGACGAAACAACAGACATATCAACAATTCAATCAATAAATCTTTCGATTCGATATGATGACAAAAAGCCAGCGATATACGCGAAGATTTCCTAGGACTCATCGAAGCTATTTCCTGTACCAATAAAACAATCGCCGCTATTATTCTAGATTACTTAACAATGCATACTTTACCATTTGATAATTGTCTCGAACAAGCATATGATGGTAGATCAAATATACTGCGTTTGTATCAAGGTTGTCAAGCATTTATTAGAAAGAAATGTATTGATGCAGAATATTACCATTATTCTAATCATTGTTTACCCTTTGGCTCCTGGCGATGTATATGTCAGTGTCCAATTTCGGACTTAGGTCAATCTAAGATTCGCCTAGGCTTATTTAGGATCTGGGATTGGACTACTCCGAAGTCGGATCCGAGATTAGCCTGACACTTTTTTAGGCCATACTCGGATTCGCCTGGGTCAATGTAGGATATAAATAGTTATATCCATAGAATGAAAACATAAGTAATACAATAAATGAAATTTTGATTTCAACAATATAGAATATTCAGTCAAGGAAATAATAAAAACAATTTAAATGAGTTTCATAAAGAAAAATATGAATATAAGTTTTGTAGTAATTAGTTTTTACTTTTCTTGATTTACGCAACGAGACCCGTAATTATGACATTTTGTTAAGCAGAATATATTATTCTTTCTACAAGCACATTGGTTTGTTTTACATTCATCTTTGCATGAGCAGGTTACTCCATTTGTAGCACCACGAATAAATAGTTTCGATGCAGTAATTATCGAAACTTCATTTAATTCGTCCACTTTCAAGGTAGTCAACTTTTCCGGTACAGCTGATAATTTAACTAACGAATCCAATAGCCATCATTGGTTTATGATCCCATATTCTCAAGCCACTTTTGCTCTACCATTTTTTTCCTGTATATAACAGATGGTAATATTTTCGGGTCAGTATTCGTCCTATCGACTTTTTCGATTCTTATTCCAACATAATCACTGATGGAACAGTTCGAAGATAGATCTTGCAGATATTCATTATGTGCTTTCATTCGTTTATTAGCAGTTGATAGATAAGATGCTGTTGCTCGCTTGCGAATGCGCACATGAGGTGAGTTAGTTAATGTTATATCATAATTTTCATTTACTTCTTCAGCTGCATGATTCGTTTCAGTGTCCATTGTTTCAGCTGGATACTTTGTATTGTTACATTCGATTTCAGTAGAGTCCGGTATTGCAGCTAATTGTGGAATCGAGTCGGTTGTTCCTGAGTGTGGTAAATCAGGCGCATCAGTTGGAGCAATTACATCGGCTATGTCAGCGGAACCAATTGGATTAGATATAGCTGTAATAGAGCATATAGGTTCTTGATTAGAATCAGTACATCACGGCTTGGAAGAGATAGGTGTTGCTGTGCTATCTTTCGTTAATTACTCCGTTATAGCAGGTAGTAAATTTTCTTCATCACTAATACCTTCAATTACAGAATGAATTTTTTTTGAAGTTGTAAAACAACAGTATTTCATTTACCTTATTCATCAATAGACTTCCATAGATCAAAATGTAGTCTCGGTTGCTGACCAAAAACAGTTTCATACGGGCTTGTATTGACTCCACGAGCTAGACTAGTGTTAATTGAAAAAACCACAGGTAAGAGACATTCAGTCCAATTAGTTGTTTTACGATCTTCCATAAATTTACCTAGTATACTACATAATTTTGAATTGCCCTGCCCCACAAGCCCTTGGCTCTGTAGATGTCGGGGTCTTCCATTGATATTGACTAATCCAGGCCATACATTCTTCAAATTTTTTATGACATTTGCGGTGAACTCCTTCCCATTGTCAGACTGGATAATTTTATAAGGGCCAAATTGGTAGAATAATGTTAGTAAATGTTCAGCAATAAAACTTGCTTCCTTAGAACACAAAGGATATGCCTAAGAAAATTTTGAGTAATGATCACGAAAATGGAGAATCCATTGAAAATCTCTGTCAGGACGTGTCCTTAAATCGATTTGTAGACGCGTTATGAAACCAACTGAAATAATTGCCGATGAGACTACAGGGGTTTTGATGGATTTTCTAACTTGATATGATAGGCAACACTGTAAGAATAAATCAATGGCTCGTGATGGTAACCAGTATTAATGCTGGTTTATATCATAACGCATTTTATCTCTACTACCTTGACCAGTTTTTTCATGAATTTGTTTTCATATTGTGAAATAAGACTTCACAATCATAATCCGATTATTATTCTTCCATGAACATAATACATTATGTCCCGAAGAAATATCAATTTTAAAATGACTTTTACACCAACTATGGAATTTTACATCATTACCAGTTTTTTTTACCACATTTGGATTGTTTCAAAGCAAGTATAGTTTTTTTATAATAACTTGAGATAATCAACATTTTTTCCGAATATTTCAACCCTGTTCTACAAAACACCAAGTCTTGAATAGTGTTCGCGCTCACGTATCGCTCTTCTCTTTCTTTCGAAAGAATGCTAGTTAGATAACATTCTTTCTGCTTCTCTTGGCTTATCTTTTTTGTTCGAAGGGGCACTTGCTTTTTTCAACTCGAATAAACCAGTTATTCTCGCTGAATCTCTCTATTTTTGTTGATGGTGGATTTGATTTATATATAGAGAGATCACAAATAGAAAGTCTACTCTTCCTTTGAAGAAATCTCATTAGAATCACCGATATTGGCTTCAGCAGCACTTATTACACCAGCATTATTATCAATAGATGTGTTCACCAATGCATGTCCACCAACAGGTTTGTTTGTTTCTCCCATTGTAAACAAATCTTCATTCGTTGTAATAACTGTGATGAAAGTAATTTAAAAACGAATATGCGATTACTTTTTCTAAAAAGACCAACTGGAACGTAAACAACGAATTACATTTACCAAATATTTTTATCCAATAAATTGTATGGACAAATCAATTCCTTCACGTAAAGTTCAAATATGCGTAATACCGAATCCGAGTATAGCCTAGGCGAATCTCAGATTGGCCTAGATCCCAGATTGGACGCTGGCATACATATACGCTCAAACGCCATTACTGAGTAACGATACTGCCAGTATATGGTTTAACTTTTTAGAGCATCTTTTTGTCCTTTATCAAGTGGTACTAGACAAATGTCATGTTTTCCTTTTCTTTAGACTTGTTAATGTTAGAAATCTATTTTGTATTCGCTTGCTTTCGTTCTTTACGGGGATACGTACTATCTCTTATCTAGCGCGATCACTTTTTCTTCGTTTTGCGTTTGTATTAGTCATGCACAGTGCTAAATGCTCTCTGATTAGTCCCTCTATTACTGTAAAATATTGGCTGTTCCTGTCTTATCTAGAAAATCTAGTAAATTCTGATGGGTTCAGTAAACATTGAATATATATATATATCCCTTTCCAATCGGATGTATCTATATGGATACATTAGGTTAGTATTATAGATAGCTCTGGCTTATAGCGATTACATCAAATATTGCAAGAAATCAGTCATAAAGCCAACATACTTCGCTAGATATATGTGCGTTTAAAAGAAGAAAAAAAGCCATTCGATAAGGAAACAAACAATTTTATTCAAATGCTCTGAAATAGCGTCCGTCTATTGATAATCCTTTTTCACGTTTGTATATAATCTATCGCCGAAGCAACTACGTGTCAATTTTCCTTGATACATTCATTGTTTATCCCATCAATAAGGCGGATTATCAAAGAAATCCGAACTGTAAAGAATGAGAATGTATTCAAATGGATACATCGGGACATAAGATGCCGAAAAATAGGTATTCTATATATCAATAGTCAAAAAGTAGCAGAATGTAGGAAAAGACTTTTTGCTGTACATCTTCTAGTAGCCGACTGGAAAAGGATATACATGGATAAATTGCAAAATTATTGTACCATTTTGAGGGGAATAATGTACAGAAAAAAAATTTCGATTTCGAAGTCAATCAGTACTGTTTTCAGTTGTAATATATGAGAGGAGAACAAGTGTAAGTTTTCCCGATTACCACATTTCTTATAGCTGTAATAAAGAAGAAACATTGAGAAATGCCTCTGAATATTGTATTGCTATACCATAGAGACGTTGACTTTAGCATAAGAATTTCATGGATTACTTTGAAAATATCTAAGCTTATACAGAAAAACTACTTATTTTATATTATTCGAACGTTTTTGGCGTCAAATTAAATGAAAAATGAACATACAGCTTTCCAGATACGTAGACTATTCACTATGTATAATCTTTGAGTAAATATGTGTCAATTGTGAGAAATAGATTATGGTACGCTAGCGCATGTTATAATAGTTCCTGGAGCAGAAAACCAAATGACATCTCCTTTGGGTATGTTAATATGAGCTAGGCACTTATGATAAACAAGTAAATCCAAACGGAATGTCTGCCTAAAATCTCGTGTGACAATTCTACACTGTTTGACTCTCTTTTATACGAAAGGTACGTTTTCTAATGGCGACATTTTCAACAATAGTTAGCTACGATTAGTAGATAAAATGATAAAAATCTCAGCTCAATTCACCTTAGCTAGTACGAGCTGCAGAATAAACAAAATACAAAATCTCGTGCGGCATTTAATGTGACAACTAGATTTCAGAATCTATTTGATATTCTCTTCTCAGTGAGAGTAAGTCAGACACTCACATTGTTTGTTGTAGTTTTATTCCTCATTAATGATCTTTCATTTGAGACAAATCGAAGAAATTCTAGTTAGTTTATTATATCGAAAAGGCGTTTTTAAATATCGTGTGACACTTTTTGACTATCAGTACGACATCTGATATTTAGAAAATCATCCGTATAAGAATCGTGACGAAACAGCCAACTATTCTTATATTTAGTGATGTACATGCTGTCTACTATAAATGACATTAAGTTTGAAAGTCAAAATCTAAGAAATAAGTCAACTATAAATCATTTTCTTTCGGTACGAGATAACAAAAGTGAAGTATTTAACCGAGTGTATTGAATATTTCAGGATAGATTAATGATAGAATAGTGATTGTTTTGCGTGATAGTGGGCATTAAGTGTGAGAGCAGATACCAAAATTTTTATAAAGATTAGTTAAGAAGAACTGGAGTTATCAAAGCTTTCTATATGGAACTAGCAATGGTACAATAATTTAGCAATTCACCCATATACACTATGAATTTCATCAATTTCGGATCAGTCATGTGCGCACAGAAGAAAAAAACATTTTTCTGTCCAGCGGAAAAAATTTTAGCACATTTTTTGACCTTTTCATTTGATTCTAATCATAATTGCATGAAAAATACAAATCTTTCACAAAAAAACGTTAGGAACAAAAATTTTATCATAGGAAATGACCACCTTTAGCTTTTAGACAACTTTGACTCCTGTCAGGTATTGAGTCGATAAGTTTTTCACATAAGCCAGCAACGGTGCTAAAGATGGAGGAGGGGGGGGGGTGGGGCTGAGCCCCTTAGATTTTTAAAATGTCCATCGAAAACTAATCATTTTCTTACCAAAACATCGAATTATGGGGACTGTTGATAAAGTTCTGCCCTGACCTGATATTGCACGCTTTCCGCCATCATCGGCATTAACTTGTTGAATAGTCCGGATGCAATCTTTCTTCATCAGTTCTCGATACTTTGCATTAAGTTTCCTTTTTAAGACATAAAATGGTGATTCATCACCAAAAATAACTTTGCGCCAGCCATCAGTAGCCCAATAGCTATATTGCCGACAACAAGCAATTCGCTGTACTCGGTGTTTCTTACTGAGACATTGCTTTTTGAGTTTCATCTTATACTTAAAACCAAGTTTTGTTAGATAATTACATACTGTTCGTTTTGTAAATGATTTGGGCAAAAAACTGTTCAAATCCTATGGAATTTTGGCTGCACTAAATCAATTTTCGCCTTGTACCAATCTTTTCAAATGTCGTTCATCACGATTATTTCAAATCAGCGAATTCGCCAGGCTTTTCATATCTTTTAATGGCACTCATAATACATTTGCTTAAAACAGGGAGTTCTTCGTCGATTTTAGACACCTTCATACCAGACTGATGCGAGGCCACCGTTTGAGGATGAGTATATGGGTTAACGTGGTTTCTATCCATCAAAATGATATAAACTGGTGCTTTCAAACGAGAATAAACTAAAAAATAAAGAAAAATAATGCATTGGTACCTTTTGTGAATAGAACAAAATGAAAAGATCGAAAAATGTGTTAAACTTTTTTCTTCTGTACGCACATGGCTGATCCAAAATCGATGAAATTCATAGGGTATATAGAGGACACTAAGAACAACTTACACCATTTTAACAATGCTCCTCGAAGAAAGTAGCAAAAGAGAAAAGGAAAAAAATAGAAAGCGTGCTAAACTTTTCGCTTCCTCTGTAGATATGTGTACATGTATAGACAATTTTTTTCTTCACGCCAGAAAACTAACTCGTCCACAAAAAGTCGGTTTACTATCGAGAATATTGAAATTACACATAGCAGTATGATATAGTTTTCAGCAACTGATAATGAATCAAGCTCATTTTGGGAAGCATTTCAAGCTGCCAAAGTTGTCCCAATATTCTATAAATTTGGCATTGACAAGGCCACATTCCTATCCTATGAGATAGTTTAGTCATCCTTTGTTATTCGCACACTTGCGCCCCCATATCTTTATTCTGCTCTTAAGTATAACTGAGAGAATTAAAGTATCACTTATGCATTGGAAAGCGGTTGGACATTTTTAGTGCCAGAATTGAACAGCATTACATAATGGTTGTGATGTGTGGGGCCGAATTAGAAATCATTATTAGCGGAAAGATGACAAGTTCAATCAGGAGCGCATCCTAATTCATCTAACATTTTATCGAATATGTATGATGAATCCTGCTCAGCTTTGACTCTCTATTATCAACAATAGAATGGACGACAGAGTAGAGAGAATATCAAGAAGAAGAAGAAGAAGAATCAAACGTCAATTGATAAAGTAACACTTCTTCGATCGATCCTATTTAGAGCAACGCACGAGTCGTAATTGGGTCGGATGTCTATTATCAGTATTCGGTTCCCAACTCGTATTATTATTCATTTTATATGTAGATTTATTTCACTAAATCAATATTACAAATTCAGTAGTGGTGAATCCATGGGGAACGTATCGCTCAAACTTTCAGGGTCTGTAGAGCTCGATGAGCTGATCATTTTGGTATCAAAATATCGCATGTTTGTGCCTATTTTGACTACGACCGACCCAAAATACAGCTATACGCGAAAGTATCGAACAGCAGAAAAATTTGGGCGGCCCATTGACAATATTTTGCGCATTTTATCTCCATAAAAAATCGAAACCCTAACTATTCGTATATATTCTGATAGCTCGTCTTCCGCTCTATGAAGCCATAAACATGCCAAATAGTTTGGTTCAATTCGATGAGTGTATGAAGGCGCACGCCTTGATGAACCTTAACTCATAGTTGCTTAGCTCTGCAGAGTTCGGGTGAGCTGAAGTATAGTGAGTTTTGTAGAACGTCTCTTGGTCTATCTCGTTGCATATAAAACTTCTCACCCGGTTTCGATTTTGGTGCGCAAGAGAGCTCCAAACATTTGTCTAGTCCTATAGTGAGGCGATTTTCGTTGTTTTTCCAATGGTTTTTCAAAAACTTCGCAATAAAACGGTGGAAAATCTGGGTATAGTGTAAAATAGGCCATTCGAAAGATAATGAAGTTATTTGCAACAATGAAGTGCTTGCCCATTACATTTAAAGCTCTGAAAGTAGGTGAGTTATTCCATCATCCCAGGACGAGTAGTTCAGCGATCGGATCTTGTCCGGCAAGCATCGGATTTTGACGGATCCGATCGGAATTTATCGGAAGGTGTCGGAATTCGTATTATAGGAATCTAATCAAAAGTTTTCAGCTATCGGAAAGTGATGGAAATCCTTCTGATCCTGTCGAACCCTTGAAATTCCCATCGGATCCGACGGAATGCATTTGACCAATGCCATTTCGAACCCTTCTCTTCTGAAATTGTTTAATTTTGGCGAATATTGAGGGCCATCACGCATTGCACCTATCACTTGATATTTTGTTCTATCTGATTGTTTTTTTTTCGTTCTAACCTTCCCTGTAGAATAAGACCCTAATGGGCTAATATTCTGTGAGGGGGTTTACACAATATTTCTATGGAAAATTGCACATAATCATTTCTACAATGAATATGCATCATTATCAACAGAATAGAATGTGTGACTGATGCACAGAGATTTGGGTAACTGTGAAATGCATGCCCAAAAAAGCACCATTGAGGATACAATTGTGGCGCTCATGTTTCAACTAACGGGTGGGCCATAAATAATGAGGGTGTTAGCATTTTGATCATAACTTTTTACGTCTTCAATGTTTAGAGCGGCTTGTTCCATGAGATGATACGCCTTGAAATTCTCTACAAAATCATAATTAACTTCAATTTTATAGGATGTTAGGGAAATGCTGTAAGTGAATATTACTGGCAACACAAAATGTACCTAACTTTCAAAAATCGAAGAAGTTCTTTGAGTAGTCAGTCTGTTGTATATCATTGTCGAATATCGTGTATTTGTTCTTGGAATAAGAGTGCGGTATAAGATGCAGCATGAAAATCTCTACAAGGTGCATTGCCAACTTGCGTCTAAAAATAGACTTTTAATTTTTAAAGCGGAGTACAATTTATTTTCAATTTTGCAAGAAACATAATAATTTGATCACGTAGGATTTTGCATAATTTAAAAACACTTTATCTGTTCGTATAGAACAACATCCTATGTAGATTGTAGAGCTTTTCATGGCGCATCTTATGGTATATGTAGATTCATTTTCTTACAAGACATTAGGTAAAACAACATGAAATAAGAACTTTGATATATTATATGAAGTTACATCACACCAAACTCCAAATTTTAGGGCATATATTTTAAATCGCTTAAGAAACAAAGCCATATTTATGATCTAAAGTTAATAGTGTGCATTGTAGAGCTTTTCGTGCGGCATCTTTTAATATAAATGTGTAATGGTCGTAAAAAATTGGTTTGCTTTCAAAGTTAGGTACACCTTGTGTTGCCAGTAATATTCACTTACAGCATTTCCCTAACATCCTATAAAATTGAAGTTAACTATGATTTTGTAGAGAATTTCAAGGCGTATCATCTCATGGAACAAGCCGCTCTAAACATTGAAGACGTAAAAAGTTATGATCAAAATGCTAACACCCTCATTATTTATGGCCCACCCGTTAGTAGAAGTCTACTTGCATCGTGATTGTATGACTATTTTATTGCGAAGTTTTTGAAAAACCATTGGAAAAACAACGAAAATCGCCTCACTATAGGACTAGATAAATGTTTAGAGCTCTCTTGCGCACCAAAATCGAAACCGGGTGAGGAGTTTTATATGCAACGAGATAGACCAAGAGACGTTCTACAAAACTCACTATACTTCAGCTCACGCCAGCTCTGCAGAGCTAAGCAACTATGAGTTAAGGTTCATCAAGGCGTGCGTCTTCATACACTCATCGAATTGAACCAAACTATTTGGCATGTTTATGGCTTCATAGAGCGNTAGACAAAATAGCACCAAACATGCGATATTTTGATACCAAAATGCTCAGCTCACCGAGATCTACAGACCCTGAAAGTTTGAGGGAATTTGGTGGAAGTCATGTAGATAGTGGTACGTTTCCCATGGATTTACCCAGTGTTATATTTCAGATTTGAATATTCATTTAGGACTTTCAGCTTTTACTCTATCAATTAACGATGAAAGATACGTATATTTCGCTACACAAGTGTCTTTCAAATTCGAAGTTTGAAGTTACATCCAAGACAGATCCCGAATTTTTAGTCGGGCATCCTTCGGTTGTCTGCTCGCGCTTGATCTTCTCTCTCAGCATCCTACTACTTCCTCCACTTTTATGTCGCTTCGAAGCGCATTAATGAACCAATTATATTTTCTGATATATGAGAAGTGACACTCATGATGTCATTTATTCAGCTCGTTTTGACGCAAATCATCTTGTGCAATGCAAGCAAGCTTGTTGTGTATACAGTATGTAAAACCTAGCCTCGGATTCGAGTTCCTCCACTTCGAAAGTTCTTCATTCAACCATTTTCTGATAGTTACTGTCAGGTCTGTATTGAATTATCCACTGTATAACTTCTTGTTTTAGAAAAGGAGCTATAATAGTTATATATCTACAAAGAATATTGTTAGAAGTCTTCATTTAACAAGGACAAGAGAGTGCTAAAGGGCTGCCTGATACTGCATACTGTCGATCTCTACATGAAATTGATATTAACTAGCTTTTTTTTATGAACACTATTAAGCAACATGACTGAAACGGAGCTATTACTACAAAAGTCAACTCAGTCACATAATCATGGAAACCGAGTGAATGGAAAACAACTTGCAGTCAATACGTACGGTTGCATGATTCATTGGTTTCGAATTGCAATCTATATTGAATAATCATTTTTTGCAGCCTGCGTGATTGGCGTCAATGTCTTCGTGGTCAAAAGATGGATGAAGACGATTATGAAAAAATTGAAGATCAAGATAAAGGTACTGCTGAAGGGTCCCCAGTTGGAATATTTTCATTGGTAAGTTAATTTTCCTCTATAAGCTTGTATGAAATTCCGAAACTACTCTTTTATTTTGCTGTAGTTCCGATTTGCTGATCGTCTGGATTATTTGCTTATGGTTTCTTCTCTATGCTTTCTGGTATTACACGCTGCGTCCCTTATAGCAAATTTGATTATATTTGGACAGATAACTGGATTGTTTGCTATGAAATCATTTACGGTTAGTTGTAACGAATCGCACCAAATAAACAAAACCCTCGTTCAAAATAATGATAAATGTCCTTTGGGGATTGGTCAAAATTCAATTACTTCGATACAACTATCTCGGTAATTATTTCCTGTTTCATTCTAATCATTTCGAAAGTTGTTTCTATTCAAGACTTTGTAATAATAATACAAACGTTTTATCATCATCACAATCGACACAGATGCCAGAATTTCGAGAAAAAGTGATGAATAATATTTATTTATTATTTGGTAAATTAGATCTAAGTCAAATAAATATTCTATACTTTTTTATTCTTTTTCAATCAACTTAGCGATTGCTATTATTTCATGTATCAGCAGTGCATTGGAACAATTTATATGGTCAATGTCTATAAAGAGGCAAAAATATCAAATGAGTATTCAACTGTTCCGATCACTTCTTCAACGTGTAAGTCAATGTTTTTTTCAAAGAAGGGTGACCTCTATTCATAGCTAGTTTATCCATGCTAAATAATCACATTAATTAAGAATCTTTGTTTAGAACGTTGCCTACATTGACGTGAATAATATCAGTCAATTTAATGAAAAACTATTCAAGTATATCATTATAGACGTATGTGTTTATATTCAATTAATCGATAATTTTTTTTCTAGTAATATCGATAAAATCGAAATGGGTATTGGTCATGGATTCGTATCGTTGATAGGAACTTTGCTTATCATGATCGTCAGTACGACTATTTCGTTTATAATCAACTGGAAATTAGCTTTGATTATATTTTGCATCAATCCATTTGTAATTGTCACTTCGTTAATTTTTGCTCAAGTATGATAACGATTTCCCTTGATAGTTTAAAGTGTTTTTTTATTTTCTAGTTGACAGCCAAAGAGGTTATAAATGAATTACTAACTTATTCGAAAGCGGGACAAATTGCGCAGGAAGTATTCAGTTCATTGCGAACTGTTTTTTCTTTAAATGGAGGCGAATTTGAACAAAAAAGGTAACCAATTAAACAAAATGGAAAGGATGATCTTTTTCAATGATAATTTCATACTTAGGTATGAAAAGCATTTACAGTCCACAAGATGGAGTAATATGCGCAAAAGTGCTATAATGGGTATTTTTATCGGTTGGTTATCTTTGGTAAACTATATTGTTTATGCTCTTGGTTTTATCTTTGGTTCTATACTTATTTCTTATGATACTAATCATTTATTAAATATTAGCGATATTCTTGTTGTAAGTATTTTACAGAATGATTATTTTATAGAGAAATAGTGATATAATTTTGTTTACAGTGCATTACTATATCTGCACAATGTATAAGCTTTTTTGGTGTAGTTGGTCCTATGTACCAAGCATTTTCAGAAGCCCAAGGTGCTGCCGCGCCTGTTTTTCAACTAATTGATGAGGTAAATATATAAATGGACATGGATAATAATAATAATTTTATTTCTTTTTTCTTTTATCAATATAGGGACAAGATTCAAACATTAATGAAATGGATCTACTTGGAAAGGCAACAACAAATGAGAAAATAGAAATGAATGTGATTGGTGATATTGAATTCGATAATGTTACGTTTGATTATCCATCTAGAAAAGATTTGACAGTTCTGCATAATCTTAATATTATGGCTCGTGTTAATAAAACGACGGCTCTTGTTGGTCGGAGTGGATGTGGTAACTTTTTGTTTTTGGTTATATATGCAATTTTTGTCTTATTTCAATTCATACACAGGCAAAAGTACATGTATTTCGCTCCTCCTTCGTTTTTATCAACCCTCATCAGGTCAAATCAAAATCAATGGTCAACCTATTTCCGATTATCCCATTAAACAATTTCGAGAAAATATTGGCGTTGTTAGTCAAGAACCTGTACGTTTTCTTCCTTTGTCTTTTTTCTATTAGCTTTCCTAATTTTCAATAGATTTTATTTGGATCGAGTATTTATGAGAATATTCGGTTTGGTAAATTAAACGCAACACGTAATGAGATCGAAGAAGCAGCAAAAGAAGCTAATGCACATAATTTCATTATGAATTTACCAGATGTTAGTATTGAATATTGTGTTTTACATATGTATCATATTAACATACGTTTTAGAAATATGAAACTCTTGTTGGTGACAGTGGCGTACAATTGAGTGGCGGCGAAAAACAACGAGTTGCATTAGCTCGTGCTTTGATTAAAAAACCTTCAATACTTTTATTGGACGAAGCAACAAGTGCACTTGATAATGTTAGTGAAAAAATCGTACAAGAAGCTCTGGATCGAGCATGCAAAAGTAAGAATTTGCAATTTTTCGCTTGTCTTTCCGGTAAATAGATTACTTTTTCGATTTAGATCGTACAACTATTATTATTGCTCATCGTTTATCAACAATTCAAAATGCTGACCACATCTATGTATTTGATAAGGGAAAGGTTGTTGAAGAGGGCACTCACGAATCATTGATGATGGCAGAGGGTAGTAGATATCAAACAATGGTAAAAAGGCAACAGACAGAAAGAGTAATGGATCATAAAAATGATCTGAGTAATATGGAAGATGCAATACGAGAAGACGAACGACAAATGTGTATGTTAAATTTTTTGATATATTGATAGTTTTTATATTCGATTATTTTCATTACATAGTGGAACGTTCGCGTCTACTGAGTGAGAGTGACGCTTTTGACACAAAAAGAGTACGAATTGATCAATAGTATTTCAATACAGATGTTGATTTTTTATTCTTAGAGAGATTCAATACCATCGAAGAAGGAATCTATTTTTTTAAGATTAATCCGAATGAACCGTTCTGATTGGATCAATATTCTGATTGGTTGTACCGCATCTATATTTTGTTCACTCTGTCAACCATTGTTCGCATATTTTCTAGCTAAAATAATTAGTGTAAATATTTTCATTTTCGAATAATTTCATAAAATATTGTCAAGAAACATGATTTTTCTTATCTTTTAGTCATTCAAAGATTGTGGATATTCAAGTAGACATGATGCAGTTTTATCATCATGCTTTCTATTTTTTCTTTTGGGTCTTCTTTTAATGGCAAATCGATTTTTTCAAGTAAGTTCGATCTCAATTAATGTCATTTTAAAAAACATATTAATTTCTATATCTAGTACTCATCTTTTGGTATTGCAGGATCAAATTTAACTTACCAGATTCGTTCAAAAGCATTTGCATGTCTTCTCCGACAGGAAGTTGCGTATTTTGATAGACCGGAAAATAGCCCCGGTTCTCTATGCGCTCGTCTGTCTACCGATGCAACTGCTGTTCAAGATTTGGGTAGTACAAGATTAGGTGTTATGTGTGAATCAATTGCTTTGTCTGTTTTTGGACTTGTTTTTGGCCTCCTATTCAGTGTAGAATTGACTTTAATTGTCCTTGTTTTTACGATTGTAATCATTCTTGTCAGCGCTGTTGATATACGAGTGACTAAGCATTTAAAATACCAAGAGAAACTTATTAATGAACGAGCAAGCGCGGTAAAATTTAATTTCTTTTTTGTTTGATGTTCACTTTGAACTATTAAATGTTTCTTTTTTAGCTATCCCTTGAAGTTATTCAACATATGCGCACAGTAAAACAACTATCAATAGAAGATGAAATTCTACAACAATATTCTCGATTTATGAAGCAAATATTAAAGTTTGTCTAATTAGCATTAATATTTTATCGCACGATGTGACTTCCTTTGTAGTTTGAGTTGGAAACCTACTTTGGGACATTCATCCTTCATGGGTGTATTCTGGGCATTTGACCCGGCTGTTTTAGCTTGTTTGTATTGGTGTGCTCTTATTCTTATTGAGTATCATAAATTACAGTTGGAAAATATTATTATGTAATTGAATGATTTGTAGACCTATATATTGATCTTTCTTTTTGAATTTATTAAGAATTATTTCATTTGCAACATTTGCTCTACAATCGCCAAAAGCCTTGACAGCAGTGTAACAAGATGCATATTTATCATTTTCTTCAACTAACTATCTTTATTCTACAATTAGTACCGAACGTATTGGATTTTCGATGGCTGCTGCTGAGACATTCTTTGCTTTATTTGATCGAAAACCGAATATTGATAATTTGTCTACCAAGGGACAAATATTGGTAATGAAAGTGTCAAAATTATTTATTTTCATTCAATTATGGAGTTGTAGGCGGATTTTCGCGGTGATATCGAATTGGACCACGTGAAATTTGTTTATCCGTCTCGGCCGACAATTTCTATCCTGAATAAACTTCACTTATCTGTGAAATCAGGTAAATATAATGAAGTTCATCATCAATAGTTGTTATTTTGCTTTTATTGTCCGATCAGGTCAACGTGTGGCTCTCGTTGGTATGTTTACAGAAGAATAAAATTGCTAAACTATTTGAATGAATTCATGTAGGCTCGTCTGGGTGTGGAAAATCAACAATAATACAATTACTAGAACGCTTCTATGATGCATCAGGTGGTCAAGTAGTAAGTAGACACTATATTTACTAATGAATACAATCCTGGATGAAAGAATACGGATCGTCGTAGTGCCGCAACAGTGAATACAGTTATACAGAGAGCACTGTCTTAAAACATGAACTTTTAAGAACCTTAGATTGTTAGGGTATAGTAAGTAGTGCTGCGCTCAGAGAGAAAGCTCGATTTTGGTCACAGTTCACGACGATACTGCCTGTATAACTGTATTCACTAAGCTATGGCTATATGATGATTCGCATACATGTCGTATCGTACGATTTGGAGTTATATTCTATGTGAAATTAGTTATTGGACGGCGTTGATATTCGACAACTAAATTTACATTGGGTCCGTTCTCGATTGGGTCTTGTTAGTCAAGAACCTATTTTATTTGATCTAACAATTGCAGAAAATATAACATATGGGTTAGAAAACATTCCCATGTCAGAAATCATTCATGCTGCTAAAAAAGCAAATATTCATGAATTTATTGAACAACTACCACAGGTCATTCATTTACACATGAAAATTCTTTATATAACCTATTTGCTTCTGTAGGGTTATGATACGTTGGTGGGAATCAAAGGCGGTCTTTTATCCGGCGGAGAAAAACAACGAATCGCTATTGCTAGAGTTCTAATTCGTCGACCAAGAATTTTGTTGTTAGATGAAGCAACGAGTGCTATGGATTCTCATAATGAACAAGTAAACATGTGGTTTTAAATTGTAGAATTTCCTTCTTATTTATTTGTAGATTGTTCAACAAGCTCTTGAAGAAGCACAAACAGAAGATCCTACTCGAACAAGCATTATTATCGCTCATCGTCTTTCAACAATTCGTTCATGTGACTTTATTTATGTCATTGATAAAGGATATATTGTAGAGGCGGGCACGCATGCTGAATTAATACAACTACATGGATATTACTATCAAATGCTTGCCACTCAGAATAATTTATAAAACCATTGCTTGTCCAATATGATATTATACGTATATATATATGCTTTATAGAAGATGGAGAAAAACGTAGTTAGATTATTAATAAAAATAAAGGAAACTTTTAGCAGAACTTCTCTGAGAGTCAAAATGTGAACCATAATACATCTGTTTCTACTGACTATAGTGGTGTGCCTGGATAGGTTTGCGTGTAAAAGAGGTATCCTCGTTTACATCCAAACTATCACCTTTTCTGATTACTTTTTCCATGTTTATCTGCCCAAAAACAGTCTTGGCTATGTGGACGTCTGAGGGCATATCTAGGCATTGACCAGGCGTCACAAGAAAAGGATTTCTTTTTTATTGGCGAAAACTAACGGTCTTCGTAGAATTGGAGATTTTAATAACACATATCACAGTCACAATTCACAAATCGTCTTTGTTTCAAATTCAACTTGATGCAGCTCAAAGGTAGCATTATTTATCATTTTTAACTACCTAAATGACTAATAAAAGAAGGCGAAAATGAAAAACAAGTGGCCTTCTTAAGATTCGAACCATGCATTCTGCTATCTAGATAAATGTTCTAGGCCAATTGCACCAAAAGAACCATATTAATTTCTAATTTAGCATTGAACCATTAGGCCTGACTTATCCCAAGTCTATGCTGGACTTGATGAGGGCCGTATCCAGCAGGCACTCACTAGGTTTATATGTGAACTTAGATAAAGATTCATGACGGAATTCCGTATGTTCCACATAGTCCTCGTATGGTGTCCTCATTTTTTTCACACAAATGTTGCGTGGGTCTTTGCGGATTCACATACAATCAGATAATGAAAAGCTTCCTTCTTTGTTTTTTCTGCAGTAGATGCGATGCACTAAGCTGTAGAACTTGTTGTATATCGGAATTCAAACAGTTAGTATGATAATAGCGTATAAAAGTGATCGATTCTACACAGAAATAGTTAAAGGCGACAAAAGCAATATTTCAACAGACGAATTAAAGAACAAACGCTTACTAAATGTTAGCATTGTGCGTACAAATATGTGACAGATACCCTCTTGGAGCAACATACGATAGATATAATACATATGGAAACCATCTCTATAACATAAAAGTTATCAGAGGACCTAGTATGTGGACCCACCTTCTACTGTTTAACTGTAAGGAAGTATTCATAGTATCTAGGCATATGCCAATATCAATACTCGGTATTGAGTTTTGGTCACAAATATTGAGTTTGCTTAGGTATTGACGGTATTGATTCGTATTAGTATTGGTAAGTATTAATCCATACCTATAATAATAAGCGGTATAACTGAGCTTTACCACAGGTATTGACCAATACTTACCAATTCCAGTACTACTCAATACCGTCAGTACTAAACCAATAACAATACCAAATACCAAGAATATTGATATTGGTACATACATAATGGTATCTTAGAAGGCTTCGACACTCTGTTGAGAGATTAATGAATTAGCTTAAACAGCCTCTGAGGATGTGCTTATAGAGGCGGCGCCCTAGCCCTAAAAATTATATATGCTTGCAAGGAAATCATTAGTTTTCTACGAAAAGTTTAGAAATCTAAGGGGACTCAGCTCCCGCCAGCCCCCCCGCCCCTTGGCGTCACCACTATGTGTTTACGAAAGAAGAAATAATTCAAAGCAATCGTAAGACCGCGATTGCGACAATTCTTTGAAATTGTGGCTTTGGTGGTACTAGGCTCACTCGTAGATCGGTTTGAATGAAGTCGAATTTTTTTGGTGAGGTATAAGGTAGGCGATCGGTGGAATTTCAATGAATTTCAGAGCTTATATAGAAGTAGCGAACATATGATAATTTTATGCGCTCAGTAATAAATATCTCTCCTATACGAAGATGGTCCCGCACAATAAAATTAACTGCATGTTTTTATTGTTTCGTATATACTTTGAAATTTGAGAGAGATGTCCGTCTAATTCTTGTTTCGAAAGTTGTGCCATGAAAAGCTCTCTCGGATTTATACCAGACAATCACAAATACTATCATATGTTATACCTCGCGTTCTCAAAATAAAAAAATACACATTTCGCGGTCATATTTTTATGGAGTACTTCAGTTTTATTTTCAAGATACTTTAGTTTCTAGAGCTGATAGAGTATGAATCTTGTTTATACGAGACGCATCTTCAAAAGAGCTATAAAATAAGTTAATACAAACTCGTGCGACTATACGCACGTATTCCTTTAAGCTCAAGATGGAGAACTGGCAAATAAAGTCTGTGATGTCTCATTGATGACAATTTTGCTTTTCTTCGTTTTTACTAACTTCTATCTTAAAGTGATTAAATTTCGAGCAAAACTATGATCGCACGAAATTTCACTTTGGCAATACGTAATATTTTCGTCCATTTCTAGATTACTATTCTCTTCCTGTTCCTCTTTTCAGTTTTCTTCCTTCATTTTTGCGTTCCTTCTGACGCTTAGCCGTCCATTGTGTCCTACTAGTCACGCGTACGAATATTTTGGTCGTATATCTCGAAGGAAGTCAGCCAGCAAAAGTCGAATTCCACTCTTACATTTTAACTAGTCAGAATGAGCAAGAGAAATATTCGGTTTTACATAAAAACACGTATTGCTCTCAACCTTCAAGGAAGAGATATCCATGAAGAATTATACCCTGTTCATGGTAATCAGGCTCCTAGTCTTAGAACAGTTGAAAGATGGTGTCAGCGATTTCGTGAAGGTCAAGAAGAACTTGATGATGAAACAATATCTGGTAGACCTATTGCTGCAACAGCTTCTGAGAATATTGAACAAGTTCGTCTGATCATCGATGATGATTCTCATGTGACGATAGAAGAAATACAAGAACAAACCGGTTTAAATTATGGGACTACTCAGCGAATCATCGAAGAACATTTACACCTTACCAAGATCGCCGCTCGCTATATGCCGAAGGAATTTACTGATTTCCAATGGAACGAGCGAGTTCGAAGCTGTCAAGAAAATTTAAAGATGGAACGTGGCGTTTGTGGAATGTGGTGACGAGTCTTGCCTTTTTCACAGAACAAACTGGTCGAAAATCAGCAAATGCTGCTTGAATGGCAAAAGGTGATGCTCCACCTACAGTACATTGTCGCGACCGATTTGCTCCAAGAACATTATTTTCCATTTTTTTTAAATCGACTGATCAGCTGTTGATTCATCATGTGGAGTGAGACCAAACTATCGACCACGAATATTATATTGACAACTGTTTGCAACCTCTTCTCGAAGAAATCAAGCACCAACGACCTTCGTATGGTACAAATCGTATTCTTCTACATAATGACAATGGTAAACCACATATTCATCGGTATGTGTCTAGTTATCTTGAATTTGAAGGTCTTACAATCTACTTAATCCGCGGAATTCCCCTGATTTATCACCATGCGGTTTCTGACTATTCGATTCAATCAAACTAAAGTTAAGCGATCAAACCTATTCTCAATCATTGCATGACGCTATAGCTGACTTTATGTACTCGTTGGATAATGAAGAATATCGAAAAACGTTTGATAAATAGACGCAGAGAATGCAGTTGTGTGTCAATAATCAAGGTGACTACTTTGAACATTTGATGAAATAAAGTTTTTTTTTATCTGCTTACATCTTATTTTCTTTCGATCAACATCCTTTTTGTATGCATTAACAAGAATACGCAAGAAAACTCGATGAATAACGAGAAGAAAGAAAACTGGAAAGAAGAACAGGAAGAGAATAGTAATCTAGAAATGGACGAAAATATTACGTATTGCCAAAGTAAAATTTCGTGCGATCATAGTTTTGCTCGAAATTTAATCACTTTAACACTAGTTAGGTAGGGATCAATTAGTATAGAAAAATAGAACTTCATTTTCTTTTCTCTATCGTTCTATAAAAAAAAGAACTTTTCCTGATCGTATTATAAGAAAATAAGATAGCTCCGACATCACTTTTGAACAACCCTAAGTATATGTTTCTACACAAGTTAACTAATAATAAAAATGGTATATGTATCTCTTGTATTCACGCGAATCGTTATAGAAGTAAATTAGAAAATTTAATTGGTATGTTTGTGGCAACATTACCTTATCAAATTCACATTAATCCAAACCATTCATTTGATCTTTTTGTTAGAGAAGTTCAAAATAAAGTTTTTGAAATTATTGAACATGTATGTTACCCTCTTCAAAGTATACTTAACGATGCAAATTCGACTTTCACTTATTATTCTTTTATGATCCTGAAAATGAAACTCACAGATACTCATCGTCTTTTCTTTGTTATAAAGACGTTTTTGATCTAACAACAGTTAAAGAACTCTCTAAGCAATTTCAACATCTTCTTCTATAACTATTTATTCAAGATGTAAATGTTTCAACAAGAAAATCGATCAGTTCAATCAATAATCCAATATCCTAATATAGTCTACAGCTATCATGTCACTTGGAAGAAATGACACTAACGAACTTTCATTGTTTATCAAACGTTATTAATGAAGGTGAACACCCATTTTCATTTTCATTTTATCATCGATCGTATATGCACAAAACCATTTCTGATAAAAACAAAGCAGTTTTGTCTAGATGAAAACATAATCATTTCGTTTTGTTCAACGTTCATTCATTACCTTTACCATTTGTGTTCCTTCCTTGTAGCACCAGCATCATTTGCGCAAACTCGTATTTGGCTCGTTGAAAACAAATCAGAAGAAGCACAAAATCCAATTTTTAACATGCCATTTGTTTATCGCTCCGTTTACAATGATACACTATCAGTTATACAACTACGTCGTGCACTTTCTCTTCTTGTTCTCGAGCATCAATCGCTTCGCAAATCCTTCATTTTTTATTCTCATCAAAATCTCTTGATGCAACAAATTATAACTGGGGAAAATCTTCATGAAAATGCCTTTTCCATCATCGAAAGCACTTATGAAACAGAAGATCAGCTCATCTATGTAAACATCAGACGCAGGATAGACGCGTCCTAACGCATTTTACTTCCCCAGTCGCAGCTAAACGCGTATCTCAAGATAATTGCATCTGAATCCAAGACAGAATAATTTTTTCTTGCACTTTGACGCATCTTTGTAGAAAGTAGCGCTTGGCTGCGTTGACAAACGTAACTGAAATACGTTTGGACGCGGCTTGACACATTTGAGATACGTTTGCTTTTGTTAGCTTCGTCTAAGTTACGCTCCAAATAACTACTGATTCTCTGTCTTTCTAAATAGCAAAGCAGCTTCCTTTATGTAAAGACACTCAGCTAAAATATATTCTGTCAGTTACAGAATAGTTGGATGGAAATCATTATTTATGCATATTGAAAGATATTCTCAACGATTATTTGATATCTGTTCTTCAAACCAAATCTCTTAAATCAGTCGAAGGTCATTGATTATCAATATGTGCCTGGTCCGAATCTCATTCAGTATTTTTTTTAATCATAAATGAAATCTCAAATAAAAATAGAAAAAGAAATAAAGTCCAAGTTAGTTCGAAATTGAATGAGATTATTGGAAACAAGTGAAACGACGAGTTATTTTTCCTTCAAAATCACGTAAAATGAGTACCGCTATCATCGTGTGTATAAGTTTAAACGTCTAATTAGATATATATTCTTTTCTATACTGATATGTTTCGAGCAAGGATAGCTTAGTGGTGTATGTTCAAGACTTTTTGTTCGATGATTCATCTGTTCAAATTTGCACTGCGGCAAGTAAGATAAAAATTCAGATTATATGCGAGAATAGTCTAAGACCATTAGGACATAACCGTGGCGGCGACTCAGTTCGAATCTGAGATAAGCTGAAAGATTTTTTGCCTAATTCTGAAATTTAATGTGAACGCGTTCAGATGCTCCGATTGTTTCACCGGGGACGCGCTCGATTACTGTGATTCAGACGCGTTTGTGGCATGATTGAAACGCATTTAGACCCAAAAAATGTTTACGTGAGCAACCATATTCTCAAGAACGAAAAATATAATCGTGAGCTTTTCAATCTTAGCCAATGTGTTGTCTTCCGATGTCATATTATTTATCATAAACGAAGACTTTCGGATGATATTCTTTCTCATCGAGATCTCCTTGTCTTCAATTTTCATCATGCTATATTTGATTTTTCATCTATGAAAATCTTTCTTCATGATTTAAATCAACTATATACGAATGTGCAACTATTCAATGATGAACATCACACAACCTCTCTGTTAGTGAGTAATTTTCGATAGAAACAAGGCAGAGAGCTGCGATTTTCATTACTGGAGAGTGACTAAGTTAACTCATCAATTTATATAAAACCATTGAGATTTATTTCTGGAATCAATAGTTAGCCACAGTCACCTTAGAAGAGATGACGGTTATTAGGTGACCATAGGACGAATCTTACACTTTAAGGGATGGATGAGAGTCACCAGTTCATGGCCTAAACAAATAGAGAGAGAGAGCTCGAGTCAAAATTTTACTGTTTTCGAACTCATGGGTATTATATCCAATAATTATAGCCCACTTTGCCGCCAATTTGGGTAAAAAAAACTCGGCTATTTTGTAGTTTTTTTTTGAAAAAATCAGACTTGTTCTCACGACATTTCGTTTTCAACCATTGTGCAAGAGTTCAAACGTCCAAGGTAAAGTCATAGTCTTATATGATTCGATGCAATTTCATCTGTTCTTATCATTGGCGAAAGTCGCAGTTTTCTACCATGCTTCTATCAAAAGTTATTCGGGAAAAGCCCCCAAGTATTATTTTTCGAAATAGACAGCATAATCGACTATTCGCAAAGCTCACATATTAGTCTGGATTTTTCATCAAAGAACATTCGCCAAATTCCTTTTAAAAACCTTTCCAATTTGATCAGTTTGTCTCAAACGTACATTTCAAGGCTAATCTGGGATTCGAACTTTTAGTCGTTCGTCGGCCACTCACGAATAGTCTTTGAGACATATACAATCAGTTTCCTATTTCCACCAAAAACATAACCTGTTCATAATCGATCGGTATCTCATCAGAGATATTGAAACTTCACATAATAATGCCATCTGAAACTTAGATTTTATTCTTTGCTATAAATCATTCCAACTATCTAATACTTTCAGCTCTCATTTTCAGCCTAATTCTCTATATAAATATCCAACCGTCGGCCAATATCGCTCTCGTCGTTCACTCACACCTAGCCACCTCTATGCCTACTCTTCAATATATAAACCGCTTTATCTTCATCCAAAACAAACGTGCGAATTGACTTTCAATTTGTCGAACAGATATACGCAAAAAGATCGAACGAGAATCAGTTCAATTACGACAAATCGTCTTAATTGAAAATGCAACACGTATTTGAGATTCTTTTTATTATACACTCATCTAAATAAAACAGTTAACACAGCGTAGTACCTGCTAACCCTGTACTGAAACAACATCATCAGATCTCTGTTATTCCTCAAAAGAAATAAATAAACATGATTTCATTTGAATGATTCAATCATTTGATAATTTATTCTAGTCTTTTACTCATACTTGATTTGCTTCCTCAGA